GGCCTCCCAGAGAGCTAGGATTACAGGCGTGAGCCACCGCGCCCGGCTGCTGTTAATTTTTAAAAATACACAATTACATGCTTTCCTGATCTCTTCGCTCTCTAATTCTTGTATCTTGTGTCTTCCTTTTGCATTTTTTGGTTCTGTGCTATATATAGTTTAGAAACTGTCTCAGGAATGGTTTGCAGGCTGCTGTGGTTTGAATGTCCCTCCAAAACTCATGTTGAAACTTAATCCCCCAGGTAGCAGTTCTCAGTCTTGAGCATCTCTGCCCTCAGGAGATGGACTCATTCATGGATGCATGGATCGATGGGCTGTCATGGGAGTGGGACTGGTAGCTTTAGAAGAAGAGGAAGAGAGACCTGAGCACACGCTCCGCACCCCCCACGTGATGCCCTGCTCCACTTCGGGGCCCTGCAGAGTCCCCCCCAGCAAGAAGGCCCTCACTAGGTGCCACCCCTTGATCTGGACTTCCCACCCTCAAGAACTATAAGAAATAAATTCCTTTTCTTTATAAATGACCCAGTTTCAAGTGTTCTGTTATAAGCAACAAAAAACAAACTAAGTCAGGGGTAGGAATCATTCTGAACTCTCCTGCGTCTGAAAATATCTTTATTTTGCTCTTCTACAGTTGACTCTTGAACAACACAGGTTTGAACTGCACAGGTAGATTTACATATGGATTTATAAAATAAATGTATATATATTTCTATAAAGTGGGATGAGGGGCTGACAACTGCACTAGGAGTTCTGCAAAACAAGTATGCAATGCTTGCTCTCAAAGAGCTTGTAACTTAGTAGAAAGGACTAGACAAGGCTTAGGAAAAGACACCAGAAGACCTGTGAAGTGATATAATCAGGTGCAGAAAAATACAATGAAAATAATATGTATGTGTGATGAGGGAGCTCTGAAGTGAAGTAAAGCTTGAAGGGAAGGGGTTTCGAAACTTAATGGAAAGAAAGTTAAGAAAGAAGTACACTCCAGGATGAAGAACTACAATGTGAAAATGAAATAAAGAAGCAAGTTTTGTGGGGGGGGAAAAAAAAAAAAGCCTAACTGTCAATAGATATAAAATGTAGACCATAGGATAAAGCGAGAAAAACTAACACGCAGTATCCTGACATGGCAAAAACATTTTTTTTTTTAAAATTTCTACTTTCTAAAGACTCACTTCCATTCAATAAACATCTGTGGGTATTTATTTTATGCCATGCACTAAGTGCTCTAGGGTATTTAAAGATTAGCTGGATGCTGTGTTTGTCTTCAGGGAGCTTATAGTCTAGTGGGATAGATGACGCATACAAAACCATCGCAGGAAGAAGTGTAGCCCAAGTGTCCAGGTAAGAGCCTAGAGACTAGAGATACATAAACGTCTGGTTCTAAAGTAGAGAAAGTGACTCTTAGTGACCGAGTAAAGCAAGAGATGCTACTAAGAATGATATGGGCTACATATTGGGGATATGTATGTATGTAGTATGCATATATATAGTCGAAGGGATTTTAGGTTCTAGTTCTTGCCTTCAGTGACCTTGTAGAGAGTACTTAATAAGAGTAAACTATTAATATTTACATGCTGGTCTTTTTGTAAATAGTATGTCATTTAGGATGCTCACAGAGACTGGGCACTTTGTTGATGGTCACAACCAAGCTAAAATGGAAGATACAACAGCAATCCATTAAAAATTTTTTGAGCATTGTGGTTAAACATGGACTAAGCCTGAATAAAGGCATTCTACAAATTTCTCACTGCTTTGATGTATGTTAAAAGATTCCATTGTAGAAACAGGATTGGCAGCCTCTTCGCAGGTCCCATATACTATCATTATTAGTAATACAATTTCCTAACATCTACAAATACCTTCCTGAATCTCCCAAACGATATATTAAATGCATGCTGCTTTTTAAAAATTAAAAAAAAAATAATTTTTTTTGAGAATTCTTTGCCACTTCCTTGAAAAAATTTGAAAAATCCTGCAGTGTTTCTAAATCATGCCTGAAAATCACTACCTTAGGAAATGTAAATTGTAAAGTTCTGAAGACAAGCAAGGTGAATAGGTTTGGATAGACTGGCAATTTTCTTTACACTAATGCAGAGGGTCCTAAGGAGCTCTTCCAATATGAGCACTCCACAGCTTGCCTTTTCATAAAATCTCTTTAAAATTAGCTGCCAAGAACTTGTCTGAAAAACACTGTACTGTAAGTGACAGCCAAATAAGGCCTTAGGTTTTAACAAGTGGAAATTTGAAAGTGGGCGAAATGTTTTGATAAAGTCACCCACGCCTAGAACAGCAGATAACATCTCTTAACTTCATAAAAGTTTTCCTAGATATCTCTTTGTGGATTTCCCAAATTTTTTTTTAGGTTAATTGGAATCCTTGAAAACGTTTTGTTTCACTAATTATTTATAGGAAGTAAAACAAAGAAGACGAGATTTGCACAGGGTCTGAGACAAAGCTTGGAAAGTGTGCCCTTGTCTCTGTAAGGACAAGCAAGGCTGATTTCCCACAATTGAAAGGGGGCAGTAGTAGGGCTCATTCAAAAGAATGAATAAATTAAAATGATTTATACTTGACTATGGAAAACATCTTATGCTTCTCTCAACCACATTTTAATTAGGTAAATATGAATTAAAATAAGATTGCTTTCAAATTGCCCATAAGATGTAGTCCGTGGAAACAATCTCATAGTGGGAGAGGCTATGTTGTCTAGTGGTTCAGAGGATGTGCAGTGTGTTTGGAGCCAAAAAGCTTGTTTCGGATCCCAGTAGTGCCACTTACTAGCTGCTTTACTTTACTTGTCTGTGGCTCAATTCCTCATCTGTGAAATAGAATGATGGTGATGACGGTGATGATGATGATGATGATGATAGTGGCTATTGCATAAGAATGCTCCAAGGATTAAATGTGTTAATACCCATGATATAAAGTATTTTGAAGAGCACCTAGTACAGAATAAGCACTCAATAAATAATACCTACCACTGGGAGATAAAAGAAACTCAGAAATTTACACTGAATAGATATGAACTATAGATACAAGTAGATACAGGAATTTTGTATTTTATCTTATTTAATTCTTGTAATCACCCTTAGGATGTTGTTTTTGTACAATTGTTTTATAATGAGAGTATAAGGAGGTTAAATAACTTGCTAAAGTTCATATAATTCAACAATGGCAGAAACGGTATTTGAATGAAGTATCAGGGCCTCTCTTATTTTGACCTACACTGTATCACCCCAAAAGGAAAGCTGATCTGATATTTAAAATTGATTATGGTTATTTCTATGGAAAATAGTAGACATCTGAGACCCCTGAATTCTTGGTCCAGTTAAAACTAAATTTTGTCCTTGGCAGCACTAAGAACATGCACCGTGACAACCTGCGAAGCCTGCCAAGTCATGAAGTTCTTACAGAGGCGTGGTATTCAATAAGGGCAGCTGGAGGTGGAATTCCTGAGTTTTTTTTTTTTTCATCTATATGCCTACACTCCTTCAATATGCAGGAATTTTCATTAAACTCCATGATAATTTTCCACTTTGCCAAATAACATATTCTAAAATCATTTTATCTTAAATTTTCATCATGATTATTTTTCATTTAGAATGTATATCATAAATTTTGATGATAAAATTATATCATCTATATATCTAAAAGTATATCTGCATACTATAGAACACAGCTTTTCAAATCATCATCATC